GTCATGGTATGCTCAAGTGGGTCATGGTGTGCTCAAGTGGGTCATGGTGTGCTCAAGTGGGTCATGGTGTGCTCAAGTGGGTCATGATGTGCTCAAGTGGGTCATGGAATGCTCAAGTGGGTCATGGTGTGCTCAAGTGGGTCATGGTGGTGGCTAATGCATTCATCTCTCTGCCACGTTAATTATTTAGTTTTATTTCAAATATTCTTCCATTTAGTTCCTTCAATTCGACTTATTATATCCTTCCTGAATATCATTTTAGTACTCACATATCTGTTGATTATCTCACCTATTGATTTTTTCAGTTATGTGGCTCTATATTGCGTTTATTTTCTTTGTCAAGTGTTTTTGTCTTTCAATTATTATTGCTATTATTATTTCAATTTCTACTTATCATTTTTTAAAATTCGTTTTCGCTACTTTTGTTTTACTTTTTATCTATAAATCTTTTGCAGTTTTGAGGCCTGGGAAGCAGTCGAGTGACCAGGTAGGCCTACGGACCAACTCAATCGTCCTCCAATGCCTTTTTGTAGGCTGGACGAATTTTTTATTTGTCTAAATTCAATATTAAAGAAACTTATTGCTATCGGCACAAAAATTTTGTTAGTAACCCACCGCTAGATCTACTCGTACTCTCTATTTTTTTCTTATAATTGTGCGGAATAATTCTTTGAGTGAAGCTTTTATCTCCTAAATACGCAGGTCAAATTTAATTTTGATTGTGATATCCCCAGCGCGCGTTATTTTAATTTTAATGCGGGGGCTCATATATTGTTCTTTGCCACATGATTGTTTTCTACATCATGCTGATCATGTAGCAGGCTAACATGCTGACCAAGCAGCATGCTGAACTCTAGCTTACCATGCAGTCAGCTCATGCTGATCATGCTCCCCATTCAGCATGCTTTATGCACTAATATCTCATGCTGTGCAGCATGTTCTATGTACCAATATCTCATGCTGATCATGCTGTGCAGCATGCTCCATGCACCCATATATCACGCTGATCATGCTGTGCAGCATGCTCCATGCACCCATATCTCATGCTGATCATGCTGTGCAGCATGCTCCATCTACTAATATTTCATGCTGGGCAGCATGCTGTCGTACCGCAGCGTGGACATCCGTAAGTCGCTGCAGCTGGAGGAGCTGCTGGCGCGGGAGGAGCTCGAGTACATCATCGAGGAGGAGGTGGCCAAGCAGACCATCAGGTCCTGGCTGGACGCCTGCCTCAAGAGGACGCGTGCCGTGAGTGTTGAGTGTGTCATGTGGTCCAAATAGTGACACACTTTTAAGTGTGTCATATGGTCCCAATATTGACACACTCTTAAGTGTGTCATATGGTCCAAATATTGACACACTTTTAAGTGTGTCATATGGTCCGGTGACACACTTTTTAACCCAGAGCGCAAGCGAGAGGGTTGCTGTTGTCACGGCAGCGTCATATGTGCAACTGCCGAGCGTAAAGCGCTAGTTGCTCTCTAAAATACGAAAGGGCCTTTATTATTTTTAGCTGTTGACAATTCTTCTCTGTATCACCTCGAGTTTAATTGTGTTTAATTCTGCACTTGCAGAGACCGTGGTTTATAGAGAGCAATCAGCCCTGTAGGGGATTAGGGTCAGCCGCCTAGGGGACCAGGGTCAGCCCTCTAGGGGATTTGGGCCAGCTCTCTAGGGGACCAGGGTCAGCCCCCTAGGGGATTAGGATCATTACTAAAGTGCCTGAGGAGGACATTGCAGTAACTCCCCTCCTCCCTCCCTGCCCCGCAGAAAGAGAAGGACCGCGGCCACGTGTCGCTCCTGGAGGGCCTGCGCGCCACCAACGAGCCTTCCTTCCAGCTCCTTGAGGACAGGAAGGATACGGAGAAAGAGACTGCAGTCAAGGTGGGGACTTGTTAAGAGACTGCCGTCAAGGTGGGGACTTGTTAAGAGACTGCAGTCAAGGTGGGGACTTGTTAAGAGACTGCAGTCAAGGTGGGGACTTGTTAAGAGACTGCCGTCAAGGTGGGGACTTGTTAAGAGACTGCAGTCAAGGTGGGGACTTGTTAAGAGACTGCAGTCAAGGTGGGGACTTGTTAAGAGACTGCCGTCAAGGTGGGGACTTGTTAAGAGACTGCAGTCAAGGTGGGGACTTGTTAAGAGACTGCAGTCAAGGTGGGGACTTGTTAAGAGACTGCCGTCAAGGTGGGGACTTGTTAAGAGACTGCAGTCAAGGTGGGGACTTGTTAAGAGACTGCAGTCAAGGTGGGGACTTGTTAAGAGACTGCCGTCAAGGTGGGGACTTGTTAAGAGACTGCAGTCAAGGTGGGGACTTGTTAAGAGACTGCAGTCAAGGTGGGGACTTGTTAAGAGACTGCCGTCAAGGTGGGGACTTGTTAAGAGACTGCAGTCAAGGTGGGGACTTGTTAAGAGACTGCAGTCAAGGTGGGGACTTGTTAAGAGACTGCCGTCAAGGTGGGGACTTGTTAAGAGACTGCAGTCAAGGTGGGGACTTGTTAAGAGACTGCAGTCAAGGTGGGGACTTGTTAAGAGACTGCCGTCAAGGTGGGGACTTGTTAAGAGACTGCAGTCAAGGTGGGGNGGTCATGTGGCACTGTTAGTCATCGCCCACTGCTCGTGATTTACCAGTTGTTAAATGTAATTATTTCTCAGAAATGTTTTAATTTCTCAGTAAAATTGTTCTTCGATGTCAACATTTTTGTGAAGACTAACACGCTTATTGTGCCAATGATAGCAATCGGTTAAGAATGTTCAGAAGTTTACTAGACATTTTCCTAACATCCTGGTTAAGCCTTGTATGTATTCTGATTATTTTAATTGCCAAATGTTACTTCTAATTTAACTTATTGTGTTAATGTAAGTATTAATAAATTTACCGAGGACATCTGGATTCTTCGTTGTAAGCAAATTTTTCGTTAATACGCTGAAGTCGACGTGCGAGTTACCGCAAATGCAACGCTATTTTTATTCGCATTATTTTGTGTGCTTTAATTAAAATAATAAAAAATTGAAATTAATTGGCAATCGCTTGTTCTGCTTAGAAATTTTGTGTTTAGCTGTCGTGATTGGCAAATTTAGAGGTACGAATTTTCAACTAATGACGAAGTTAGCGGCAGACATTTTAATGTTCGGTGTTAAGTGATGAGATTAGTTTATATGATCTGATCTATTACAATTGAAATAATATCTGTTCTGTGTCATTACCATCTAGTTTAGAAGATTCCGTATTATGCATACATATATAACGTCGTGGCATTATATATATGCATTTTAGTGAGGCAACAACTTTTCGTGTGGTTAAAAGCTTTCTGAAATTTCATCATATTTTCCCTACTCCAATTACAGCCAATGAAACTTATCCAAGTTTATCCGTGAGAAACTTTCAAGTTGTGACACTAAAAGTTGACAAAAACGACGACATGGCAATGATAAACTTACTTAACAAGGATAATTAAAGGCGTGTGAGGTCAAAATTATATAATATTAGTCCTCGTTATTGCTTAAACAAACAAGTTATTTACACATAAATTATTGTGAAGGATGCGAGTCGAGATGTGACGTAAACAACGCATAAAAATTGCCTTTACACTAGCCTCAACTTGAGGCTAGCATCCAGCTAAGGCCAGCCTCGAGCTGAGGCTAGCCTCGAGCTAAGGCCAGCCTCGAGCTAAGGCCAGCCTCGAGCTAAGGCCAGCCTCGAGCTAAGGCCAGCCTCGNAGTGACGCAGTGACTACGACAGTGACGCAGTGACTACGACAGTGACGCAGTGACTACGACAGTGACGCAGTGACTACGACAGTGACGCAGTGACTACGACAGTGACGCAGTGACTACGACAGTGACGCAGTGACTACGACAGTGACGCAGTGACTACGACAGTGACGCAGTGACTACGACAGTGACGCAGTGACTACGACAGTGACGCAGTGACTACGACAGTGACGCAGTGACTACGACAGTGACGCAGTGACTACGACAGTGACGCAGTGACTACGACAGTGACGCAGTGACTACGACAGTGACGCAGTGACTACGACAGTGACGCAGTGACTACGACAGTGACGCAGTGACTACGACAGTGACGCAGTGACTACGACAGTGACGCAGTGACTACGACAGTGACGCAGTGACTACGACAGTGACGCAGTGACTACGACAGTGACGCAGTGACTACGACAGTGACGCAGTGACTACGACAGTGACGCAGTGACTACGACAGTGACGCAGTGACTACGACAGTGACGCAGTAACTACTGCAGTTTGTGCGATAAAGACGCTGGTTAAGCAAACTACTTCAGTTATACGAAACAGCAAAGTTACAACGAAAGCAACTGCAATAAATAAGATATAATCGGCAATATTATTCAAAAGTTCTACAAGTTAAACCCGTTAATGTTTTAATGCATTACCAATTGAGGTGAACATTACGAACAACAAGTTTACTAAGCGGCCATCTTGGGAGAAGCGCATAGTTTATAACAGAGAACGCGTATGCAAATTAGCATTTCAAAGCTAACAGCGGAAGGATAGTTTGTTTAATTCATCATCAATTGAAAACAACAACAAACGAGAAGACAACATCGGAAGATAACACTTATCTGTTATCAGCACCATCACGCTGCTGTTATCTGTGCAGACGCTCCAACTTCAGCACGGCTATCAGCGTCATCACGCTGCTGATAACACTTTTCTGTTATCAGCACCTCCATCACGCTGCTGATAACACTTATCTGTTATCAGCACCATCACGCTGCTGTTAGCTGTGCAGACGCTCAAACTTCAGCACGGCTATCAGCGGGATCACGCTGCTGATAACGCTTATCTGTTATCAGCACCATCACGCTGCTTTTATCTGTGCAGACGCTCCAACTTCAGCACGGCTATCAGCGGCATCACGCTGCTGATACCACTTACCTGTTATCAGCACCATCACGCTGCTTTTATCTGTGCAGACGCTCCAACTTCAGCACGGCTATCAGCGGCATCACGCTGCTGATAACGCTTATCTGTTATCAGCACCA